ATACGGGGGTAGAAATTAACTTTTGAACAAGGGAGTCCAACGGACTCCCTACCCTCTAAAAGAGGGAGTTCGCGGCAAAATGAGGGAGTCTGCAGTCTGAACTTCAAAATTAAAGATATTAACAATAATGCATGTGCTTATTTTGAAGATTCATGCGGTCGCACGTCTGCCAAATTTTCTTTGGAGATTTGCTGAAAAAATATGATAATTCGGCGAGGCCGTACTCTGGAACGAACTAGTTAGTATAGCAGAATTTTCAGGGAGTCACACGGACTCCTGCATATGTCAAATTAGGGAGTATTTGACTCCGGACTCCTGTTAATTTCGCACCCTGTTACGTGTATATATATATATGAATATCGATATATATAACTATGACTCTCAATGCCGGTCTGTTGCTATTTGCCCCACAGGCACAGTGAGCGAAAATGAAATGGACTAATCTAACATGTTTTGCTGCCATTAGATGGCAGCACCGGCTTTCTTGGCATCGGGGAGCGTCCGACGGTGCCACCAGGTGTCGCCACTAGCTAATTCCGTGCGACGAACATAACAGGTGCTGATGTTTTAGACGTAGTGGGTTATGTATCGCGCGGACGCTGCCGCCTGCTGCGCAGCTCTCGATCGTGTTCTACGCACTGACGTCTGCTGTCTCCCTCCCTGCGGAGTCGCGTCTCTTATATATTTATCTATGTATCTGTAAACCTACGTGTGTATGCGTGCGTGCATGGGCACGTGCATTAGTGTGCGCGCGTGTGTGTGTGTGCATTAGTGCGTGCGCGTGTGTGTGTGTGCATTAGTGCGTGCGCGCTTGTGTGCATGCGTGTGACTGTGTGACTGTAGGTGTGGGGGTTTATGTGTGTATTTGATATTCTCGATGGGTTTCTTTTCTATACTCATTCCTCTTATATATTTGCATACATCTTTGTGGTGCGTACCTTGACGGAGGTTATGTGGGCTAGAGCACTTCTCTGTCTGTTTATGAGCATGACAAGCCCCTCACAAAATCGTAGGGATCTTATCTTTCGTAAGCTACACATTTTTACTAAATTCCGGAAAATTTATACATTCCTTTTATCGATTATATATGTATATGTATATATCTCTAATGAAATGCACGGGAGTCATTGTCAGTTAGTAGAGGAAGCGATGCAGTAAGCTTAAAGTCGTTGGTGTGAATCGTTGAATTATTTATGTTGAGCTTAGGGAGTTGCCTACAGTATTATTGTGCATGCGTGCATGTGCGTGACTGCGTGTGTTCGCGCGACTGGGTGTGTGCGCGTGCGCGTGTGCGTGAGTGCGTGCGTGTGTATGGCAGCCTTTCTGTGTTTGTTGTGCCCAAGTACATTCGATTACCTATAATACCAGCGTAAGCAGCGTTATTCAGAATGCCTTCATCCTCTGTCCAGTAAGCTTGTAGGAGAGATGTTGCACCGCCACGACACTAACTTATTCGTTGTCGTTGTGTCTGAATACTGCGTAAAACTCTCTGCTTTCAATCCAATATCGCAACATAACTATAACAGTATCTAGGCATAGTCATATATCGTGGCAGTTCTATATAGGAGTATTTGGTCACAGTCCGATACTGTAGCATATATGTATGAGTGTCTACCATCTCTATAATATCCTAACGTCATAATTGAGTTCTGCGGGTTCCGATGAATTGCACTGTCTGCCGTGTTTGGGGGTGGGGAAGGAGTCAAAGAAGGATTGGTAATATTTACGTACATGTTAATAATACTCTATGGTGGGAATTGATGCGTGCTGACCTGGGGCCCGCTATCAGAAACATTAATGTTGCAGGGTTAGACATTAACTTTTGAACAAGGGAGTCCAACGGACTCCCTGCCCTCAAAAAGAGGGAGTGCGTAGCAAAATAAGTGAGTTCGTAGTCTGAAGTTCAAAACTAAAGCACAACAACAATAACGCATGTGCGTATTTGAAGATTCATGCGATGCACGTCTGCCAAATTTTCTTTGGACATTTGCGGAAAAAAATACGGTAATTCCGTGAGGCCGGGCTCTGGAACGAACTTGTTAGTATAGCAGAATTTTCAGGGAGTCCGAAAGTAAATCAGGGATTATTTGACTCCGGACTCCCTCCGTTAATTTCGCACCCTGATGTTGAGAAACTAATTTTGTTTCTGACAGTGAGCCCGTGGCTTGTCTTGCTCGTACCCTGCCAGACACTTCCATGTCACATAACTGTGTGGGAGCGTAGAGAGTTAACGATGTGGGGAGGGGAGGGGAGGGGGCTTTGCACTGCGATGTCTGCAGGTGCTACTGTTCCATCCGGCAGACAGGAATACTGGGCCACCCTTAAAAAATTGTTTGTTTCCCATTTACCTACTCGCCTCTCAGGGTACCGAGTAGGTAGGTAGGTGAAAAATCTTTTTTATTTTGTTTTGACAAGATGTGTGTATGTATATTGTATATTCTGTTTTGTGTATATGTTTTTGCGGAACGAATTTGATTTTTTTTTGGCGAAACGAAATAATTTTCGTTTTGTTTTAATCGGCCAATAAAATGTGTCGATTAGCGGCGTTTTGGCGAGTCGGTCGGTAAAGGGGAAACAAGCAATATTTTATCTTAGGCCCTGTGGGGGGGGAATGTTGGCTGGGGGAGGATAGGAGGGACGGTGCTTCGCTGTGTCATGATGGTCAGAGCTTCGCACGATGTTACCTAGGTGTATGTCCGTGGGCTGCGTGTGTGCTATAGTAATATGTTCAGAGGGGAACCCGCAGGTTAGGTAAGGAATAGTGGGGGTGGCTGTTACTGTAGGGGGAGGGTGGGTTTGGGAACGTAGCCATCAAGGGGGGTGCAACTGTCTTGTTGAGCTTTTTAACGTTGTTAATGTTGTTGTTTTTGCGCAGGAGCGAATAGTTTACCTGTGCATTGTGCGGTGCATGTACAGTAGTTGTTCTAGTTTTGCATGCATGTAGCTCGCAGGATTTTAAAATTTTTATCGTTTTTTTTAAAAATCGTTATCGATTTTTCTATCGCCTTCAATGTACATAGTTTTGCGTAAGCGTTCCTTAGTCCCAGTTGTAAATATTTTTTGGATGATTTCTTTTTTATTTGTTACGATCTGTTGTACATATGTTTTCGCATGCTTTTTCGCGTTTTACAGAATTTTACGCATTGCGAGCTTCCGTTTGCATTTACGGCCTAGCCATACAGATGATCTCTTGTTTTATGCGTTTGAAGTTGTGCAGGCGTACAATGTACAATATACAGAGAACAATATATACATGTTATATATGTATGTAGGCCCTATATATTGTTCTCAGGCGTTTGCCAATCTCAAATGATATGTTGTTTATGGTGACACCATAAAATAGATGAGGTTTTCCAAGCTGATGAACTTTTCTCATCTATTTCTATGGGTGACCCAATCCAGTATTCCAGGGGGCGCTAGGTAGAAGGAAACGAAATAGATTTTCGTTGCATAGAGTTACGGGAAGATGAGAAATCACCAAAGTGAGGTCTCTTCCACAATAGAGTTCCTTTATAGAGAGTCTCTATAAAGGGACTCTATTCCACAAGCAAAAATTTTTTTGCATGCATTTATTATTGTGACGAGCGTTTCTTTGGTGTTATTTTCGCTGAGCTTTGCAGGTTTATTTGCAGCGTTGATATGATCAGGAGTGTCATACTATATAGATATATATGATGCCACTCCTGCGCTGATCGCATGATGTGTTACTAGGCAATCTCGTTATGTATGACACACTAGTTTATAATCGCGCGTCCCACAGTTGGTCGCAAGATGGCTTTTGTCACACTCAATCCTAGTTTAGGTATCCGGTAAATAAATCATCATGATTGTGACCCTAACCCTAACCATAACCTTAATTCTAGATGTAACCCTAATCCTAACTCTAAAGCTAACCATAATCCTTACCCTATCCCTAATCCTAACCTCAACCCTACCCCTAGGTTTAACCTTAATGATCATCCTATCCCTACCCCTAAGCCCAACCCTAACTCCAACCTCAACCCTACCCTAAGCCCAACCCTAACTCCAACCTCAACCCTACCCTTAAGCCCAACCCTAACTCTAACCTCAACTCTACCCCTAAGCCCAACCCTAACTCTAACCTCAACAATACCCCTATTAGCGTAACCCTAACCCTAAGCTCAACCTTACTCCTGGCCGTAACTCGCCCTATCCCTAATTCTACCCTAAGCTCATAATTAAAACCCGGGATCCTGAAGTAGGATTGAACACCGTGGTTGTAGTGGATTATAGGAAATGAAGTATGATAGCAGAGAGTGGGAGCTGAGTGGTCAGGCATACCCGTGGCAACAAGCCAGACGGGGCAGCCATGGACTCTCCTATGATGTAAGAGCATCGGGGGCGGACGTGCTAAAGGGAGGGCTACCACTGAATTCATTCGAGTGAAGGCATATTGCAGGGGTAATTCGTGATTGGCGATTTTGCGTTCGACGTTGTAGAAATACGAAGAGTTATGGTTGGGGGGGGGGGTTAGGGTCATGGTTAGTGTTAGAGGGGTTTGCCTTGTGTAGCTCCAATAACGCGATATGTCTACACTCGATATCTCGGTATCTGACAAGCACGAGAGATTTGCCACGAGAATCCGCCTTCGGAGGTTTAACGATGGCGGGAAGGAATGTCAGCGAGGCTTCCGTGACATTCCGTCTGTCTCTGTGTTCTTACACGCGAACGTGCATTTAGTCTGTTTACCCCTCTGTTTCGCACGAAGCGGAATGTCGTCTGTGTTCTTGTGTGTCCACACAATAAATGTACCCGCTGGAAATACGTGAAGCAATCGTCTACGTAGAATCTATCTCGTCTCTATCTATCTATACTCCGTGCACATACATACACAGCTCTCGTCTTTCTTCTATGCTCCATACACGTACAAACTTTCTACTGAATATTACGGTGCATTTCAACGTAGAACGTTGGTGTGTCAATTCAGAATGTCGGTGTAGAACGTGTTAGAATCATATTCCATCAGTTCATTTAAACTCTCTTTTGTCAACTCTCAGTTTAAAAATTTCACGTAATTAGACGATTCTTCAATTCTTTTTATGCACACAAACTTTCTACAGATTATCTTAAAGTTAACGTCTAATTATAGTTTTAATTACTCTCCACTTGTTCCGATTTCTACATCTAATTTTTTGTTCTCTTTCTGTATTCCATAGTAAAATATATTCTTTTATATTAAAAAAAAACAATATATACTCTCAAAGAGAAGAGACGCAATCTACCAGTTAACATTGTTCTCTAAGCTACTGTGATTCCGAATACACATATTAGTCACTCTCCGTTAAACAACAGCACACAAACGGTTTCTGTGAAACTATTTATTTTTATATTCTCTTGTTAGACATCTCTGTATTCCATTCCATCACACCAGTGCATCTGTACAGTTGTACATATAAAAACGATATCGTAATACCATCAAGTAAAACTCCGCTACGTAAACTTAAAATGCTTTCATAATGATAGTTGCACTTCTTCAATAGCACACATATACACAATATATAGATTGGGAAATATTAATAAGATATATATATATATATGTATAATATGTATGATTTATGTTTAAAAAGATCTCCTGTCTAGACATGAATGTTTAAACCACTGCGGATGCTCAGGTAACATACCTGTGCTTGTGTTTAAACCACTGCTGATGCTCAGGTAACATACCTGTGCTTGTGTTTAAACCACTGCTGATGCTCAGGTAAAATACCTGTGCTTATGTTTAAATCACTGCTGACTAATATCACTGCACGATAATCATTACGTGATCCTGATATATAATACATATATATTATGATTATCTGTGATGTAGTGAATTTATCATAATGCGTAACTATCATGATTTAGTAATATGATGTAGTAAGTCATGACGCAGTAATACCATGATGTGGTAGTGTCATGATGCAGTAATATCATGATGTTGCTAGTGGTCATGATGCAGTAATATCATGATGTCGTAAGTGATCATGATGCAGTAAATACATGATGTCGTAGTATCATGATGCAGTAATATCAATGAAAGGTAATATCATGATGGCAGTTATCATGATGTCGTAGTTGTACATGATGCAGTAATATGCATGCATGTCGTAGTGTCCATTAGTGCAGTAATATCATCGTAGTAAGTCATGAATGCAATACGTATGATCAGATACATGAGTGGTAGGTCAGCGATGACCGTAGTGTCATGATGCAGTAATATCATGATGTCGTAGTGTCATGATGCAGTAATATCATGATGTCGTAGTGTCATGATGCAGTAATATCATGATGCAGTAATATCATGATGTCGTAGTGTCATGATGCAGTAATAACATGATGTCTAGTGCTCCATGATGCAGTAATATCATGATGTCGTGGTGTCATGATGCAGTAATATCATGACATAATGATATCATGATATAATAATCAATTGATGTCACACCAGGATGTCCTTATGTTTTCCCTGACGTTGAAAACAGCGTGAGGAGCTCTGAGCATCATCGTCTGCTGTCTGGAACCCAGCAGGGCAATGTCTTGGACACATCCAGCCTTCACTAGAAGCCCAGGGCTCGTTATTAGAAACATAATTACCCTCAACATTTGTCTCAACATTAACGTTTTCTCGTAGACCGTTGACAGAAACACGGTACAAGTTACGCGTTTCTCATGCGCAGTGTATAGAGGTGCAGTCTATGAGAAAAAGTAAGTTAAGTGTAAACGTTATGTTTAAATGTTGAGACTAATTAAAAATGTTAAGAAAACTAATTTTGTTCTTGACAACGGGCCCCTGCCTCTCGAATGAAGCCGACCTCTAACGAAGCCCAACCCATGATGAAGCCCACCCCCTAGTGAAGCCATCCTGCTGATGAAGCCCCGCTCGCTCTCCTGCTGCCCGCCTCACAGCTGGAAGTCCTGCACAGACGACGGGTAGTGGCCGGGTCGCGAGCGGTTGGTACGGAGGCTGCGCACGCTGTACGCCTCCGAGTACGGGTCGTCGGGATGCGGCGGCATGGAGACGGGCTGCAGCTGCATCGACTTGCGTGAGATCGTCGAGTGCGCGTCGCTGACGTAGGCCTGGTTCACCTCACCTGCAACGCGCGTGAGTGAGCGTGAGAATCACCGTCGCGTGCGTGGATGCTCACACAATGCTATTACAGTATTGCAATATCACATTATTACATCAGGAGTGCCATAATATCAATATCAATATATATAGATAGATACGTATATATATATATATATATATATTATGACACTCCTGAATACATCATTAGGCTACATTATTGCAATAGTGGACAGTGTATGTCTACAATAGAGGACAACGTATGTCTACAATAGTAGGCAAAGCGTGTCTGCAATACTGTCTACAACAATGTACCAAATAGTCTCACTATACTCTCACTGACTATGTAAGTGAACGATCTTCACCTACAACAACGTACCTAATGTAGCCACTACACATGTCAACGAAATTGTCTTTATGAGAATACAGGTGGCGCCACGAGCGTGTGTTATACATCTCGACAGCATTAACACATGTTCGAGTGCAGCATACAACCGGTTTACGTTGAATGGTATTGCGCTCAGTGAATCAGTAATGCTTATCATTCTGATGTGATTAAGGGAGGAAATGAAGGATTTCATCGGACATCCGACGATGCGCTCACCTCTGTAGACGCTCGGTCTGTACATCGAACCGTTGACGGACGCAGCGCCATCTGTAACGAAAAAGAAACACGTAGCAATATATCTCACATGGCGCGTACTAAAGCGACACGTGCATTATTTTCGCATGCCGCACGCAAAAACCTCCAGATTCTCAGCCTTCACATTAGCTGCCTGGTTACTTTTGAATTGCTTAGATTAGGAGCGAGTCGCGAGATGCTCTTACCTTTATAGATGGAGCCACCCATGTTGGTTTCGCTTGACAGCCACACATATCGCGTCGCGAGCACTGCAGCGAGGATTGCTCTTACCTTTATAGATGGAGCCACCCGTGTTGGTTTCGCTCGACAGCCGCACATATCGCGTCGCGAGCACTGCAGCGAGGATTGCTCTTACCTTTATAGATGGAGCCACCCGTGTTGGTTTCGCTCGACAGCCGCACGTATCACGTCGCAAGAATTACTCTTACCTTTATAGATGGAGCCACCCGTGTTGGTTTCGCTCGACAGCCGCACGTATCACGTCGCAAGAATTACTCTTACCTTTATAGATGGAGCCACCCGTGTTGGTTTCGCTCGACAGCCGCACGTATCACGTCGCAAGAATTACTCTTACCTTTATAGATGGAGCCACCCGTGTTGGGTTCGCTCGACAGCCGCACATATCGCGTCACGAGCACGGCAGCGAGGATTGCTCTTACCTTTATAGATGGAGCCACCCGTGTTGGTTTCGCTCGACAGCCGCACGTATCACGTCACGAGGATCGCTCTTACC